ATCTGTGGATGAATGAATGGGTCCGCCTTATAAACAGGTGTGACGTATGATGTGGCAGAAGTCAAATTCTTGGCCATAGATGGCACCACTAAAAAAAAAGAATCGCAAACTCTGCCTTAAATTTGCTCGGTTTCACCAAGCAGGCTTGCCCGTGTGGCAAGTGGTATTAGAACCAACCAACAGAATTTATTATTAAATTCTTTTTGGTCTAGTTATGAGCTATTATTAAAATAGTTTTTAATAAATCCAATTTATCTTATTTATTTGGTTATTTTGCAATTACTTGAATTTTAACAGTCCCATTGGTTTTAATAATTTGCTCAATTTGAATAAAACAGCCATTTCATAATGTAAAAAATATTTAAAAAATAAAAATTATTTATTTAAGTTTAAAAAAATATTATAGTTTTTTTTCTCCTTAATATTTAGAATGTAGTTAATTTTTCGAAACGTAACTGAGTTAATACTGTTAAAACTGATTCCATTAAGCTATAACCGTAAATTTATATTATTTTTGATCTTAATGGTGTAAAAGTTCGTACCAAAATCTCAAAAACGGAAGCGATAACGGATCGTAAAAGTTAAGCTTATTTAGCAGCGGTTTTCCCCAGTAAATTACACATCTTTAATTTCTTCAATTTACGAAAGTAGAAAATAATCCTTCTTTTAAAGCATTTACTTTTATTTTACTTCTAAAATCTTTTAATCAAATTGCTTTAAATTTTCTTTGTTTTCTACAATCAATTTGCTATAAATGTCAGAAGTTTGTGGAAAGTAAGTTTAAGTAGAAAGGGTTTAAACGTCTCACGACCGTTTTTAAATGACAAAATTAAAACTCTTTCAAGTTTAACGTGAAAAAAAAAGTCTCGCATGAAATTGGCAGTAGGTATTTATTAAGACATTTAACGTTTTTGTTTTGTCAAACTTCATTGAAGTGTTTTGGAGTTAGAGAAAATACATCCCACTCAAACTGTTATACGTTTATTGATAATGCCTCGGATTTAAGAACAATAGCATTTAATTGGATCTGTTAGCTAAAATTAGACATTTGTTTTAAACATTTTAAGGAAATTTTTTTATAGATATTTCTAAGAGTTTGTGTGAAAAGGCTTACTTAAATGGTGTTTTTTTAAAAATAAATATCGAAATTAACATTGTTAGTTGTGTTATAACGCATTTATTCACAAATTATTTTTTAAAATTTTTTTTAGACATTATTTGATCTATTTGAAGATGGTTTACGATTCAAAACCAGTTTTTACGATAAGAAAACATACTTTTGTGGAACTCTATCAATAACAAAACAGACTTTCGCCCTGGTTTGATCATTGGGAAATAAAATTGGAATATAATTGGGTAATAAAAGGAAAAACTGTAACAATGTTTATAATATTTTTGGCTCTTGCACAAGAAGACAACTAACTAAATGAGCAGGAGGACCACATACCTGCGTTTCTCTTTGGATAAAAACGTATTTGGCTCTAAGAGTTTTTACTTTATTACCAACGGTTGAACTGCCGCCCAATTCAATGTTCAACTCAGTAGCCTTGTAATTTTGAACCCAACCCAGAAGACAAGGGAAAGCATTTGCATTGCCATCAAGTATTGGGACAAACTAACCTTCGTAGAGGACTTTTTGATGGAACTAACCAGCATTTGGGTTACATGTGGAGGAAAAATCATGAAAAACTACAACCATTTTTCTGACGGATTCTAATCCGGATGCATGCAAGTGGATTCTAATCCGTGATCCATCTACCACTGAAGATATCTTACGTCACCACTGTGGTCGATGCGAGAGAAGAGTTCGCATTAACCAGCCAATGCTGGGATTCGAACCCGGGTCACCTCATTGGAAGGCGAAAGCTCTATTCCCCCAATCACTGCGGCTTCGTTCTAAGTGATTATAGTTTCTCACAATGATTTAAAAATAGCATAATATAATAATCACACTCTAAACGCCAAGTTGTAGGTGCGATATAGCCACAACTGGCTCTTGCTCCAATAATTTATATTTTATATAATATTAACACCTTTTTATCTCATTTTATTGGTACCTTTTATCTGAATTTATTCATATCTTTTATCTGATTCTATTCACTGACTTATACTATTTTATCAATTATAATTGTAAGACAATTAAAGTGTTGCATGAACTGTCTTTTGAACTGTTACTGTATTGTTTGGCCCAGTATGCCCTCTTTTGGAACTTGTGCCACTAAATTCCAATCCAATTCCATTCATTGTGCCATTCAATCCAATCCAATCCAATCAGTAGATCTACAGTCTGTTGTACGCCACGTTTGTCTCCTAAAGAACTATCCTTTGCCACAGTTTTCCAACTATTGACTCAAATTGCACTTAACGTTTTCTCAACTGTATGAAGCCATCTATCAGGTGTTTGAACTACATTATCATGGTATTGTGTTGTATTTCGATACAGATCTTTCGAATTAATATATTATTTTACGAAATTGCAGAAAATGTTAGATATCTATAATACTTAAGGCTAAATTGGTGGTACAAATGAAACATTTTCCGATTCTGCGGACATATTTGTTGAATTATGTTCTTCATTTTTTTCCCAACAAAATGCACATTTTTTGGAGATTATGGTATGAGCTCCCAACATATCTTCCGAAAAACCGAGCGTATCTTTCTTATGTACGCATTGATTAAAAATATTTCTGTTGTTGAATAAAATTATTTTAAAAATATTTAATGATCTAAATTTGTTTTTACAGTAAATTACACTTTACAGTTTATTTGTTCTTGAAATTGGGTCTTACGACAGGCAATTTAATTTTTAAACGGCATGCACCCCAGTTCGTAATTTGGTTTTAATGCATGCATAAACTGAAAATGAATGAACTGAAATATGGTTTCCATTAAAATAAAAACGGAAAAGGTAGAAAATAAACGTTGAGAATAATTATCAGAGAAACATACTTCTACATTGTTGAATTTATTTTTATTCAATGCGAAATACTAATGGAATTTTGCATAAACGCATATCCGTTTCATAATTCATTCATTATGTTGTTATTAAAAAAGCATTGTTCTGAAATTTCTTTGTTAGCATGTTATTCAATGAAAAAACGTCATAAAAATATCGGAAACGTCAAAGAAATGATGGATAATTAGTTGAATATAATTGAAATTACGGGTTTTAAAAATCATAACTTGTTTAAAAACTCTTGGAACCCTTCCATGGAACGCTAGAGTTCCGCGGAACACCTTTTTGGAACCACTGCTCTAAATGATAAATGTTTTTTTTTTAAAAAAAAATAATCAAATGTTATATCCGTTTTCTTAAACATGTATTATGTGCCATGTCAAAAATAAAAAGCTTTCTGACGACTCGCTACATGGAAAAAAAAATCTTTTTAATTTTAATTTTGAGAAATGTTAATTATGTTGCATAGTTCATAAAATGTATTCATTTCATGAATAAAAAAACTAACAATTTACAGAAATAAAACGGTTCAGTTAAGCTATTTAAATATTAGTTCAATCGATTTCGGTCAGAAATAATTTATTCGGGTAGAAATAATTTATTGTTTGAAAATATAATAGCTGTATTTCAGAGTTGAATTCACAAGCAACAGAATAGCATTTTATTTTTATTTTTCCTTGATTACTTTTTAAAACTTTTTTAAGCATATGCATAAGAAAATTAATAGGAATTATATTGACCGCCTTTGAATATTTTCAATTTACAGTATTTTTAAACACGTAATGATGAGCAATAATAAAATGCAAAAAAGTATGCATGTTTCGATTTCGATTATTGTTATTTATAAACATTGTTTAATCATAAAAATGTGATAAATATTCAATTTATAATGAAAAATATTCGAAGATGCATAAGAAGATATTAAAATGTGTGAGAGACTATTAGGACTAGGAGGGATTAATAATTTTATCGAGTTGGTTATTTTATTTTTATTGTACTTGAGATCGATTCAAATCGTACGAATTAATTACCTATGAAAACAATTTTGTTAAGAAGCAGAAAAATTTATGTTAATCTTTTTTTAAGAGTATATTATAAAAAAACCTTATATTTTAATGTAAAATATTTAATAATGCATTTCTCTTAGATTTTAAAAACTTTCTTGTGGTTTTATAACATAATTTAAAAGAACAGAAAACCTTAAAAACAAAAAGTTTCAAATTTTTTTTTCTCCTTTAAATTGACATGAAATTTTAAAATCAATCTCATGAACGATCCGCTTAGTCTTAAAAAGTATGGAAATTTAAATGAATTTCTATATTGAAAAATCTTACAAAATTGTATAAAAAATTAGCAACAATAAAAAATACAATACAAAAAAAAAATTCTCGCATCTCAATTTGCGCATAAAATCTTCAAATTTTATTTGTTGTATCATAATAGTATTAAAATCCGACACAAGCATCAGGTTTGGTTAATGATCATTTCATCAAAACAGTTCTTGAATATCTTTCAAATCATTATTTGAAGTTTATGACAAACTTTCAGGAAAATTATAAATGAAAACAATATATTTATTCTAAGATAACGTAACGTACTGTATTCCAAAGAAAGGTATTCCTTTTTTTTTACATAAACAAAAATAAACATTGTTCAAAATTCAGTTGCTTATGCGTGCCGCAACATCCTCCACACCCTGGTCAACCTCCAAAGGTATGACCAGTTGGATTGGACGGGTAATATGTTTTCGATGGGCATATTTTATGAGATTGAAGTAACCATTCCGGACCATTAAAACGGTTTTTCAAATTTGTAAGTTCTGAAGGATTTGTCCCACGAGAAAGATGATCAGCTGGATTTTGAGGACCTGGGCAGTAACGCCATTGAGATGGAGAAGAACATTGATGTATTTCTGTAACACGATTACATAAGTTTTCCACCAATTGGGATCGCCTTTTATCCAATTCAATGTTACTGTTGAATCACTCCAAAACGTTGCTGATGAAGACTGGATATTAGTTTCTTTACAAACGTAGTGAAATAATCATGCTCCTGTTAAAGCTGATAACAGTTCAAGGCGTGGAAGAGTAATTTTTTTAACAGGAGACAGGAGGCGGCTGCACACTAATCTAACTGTAATATTATTGCCTGTTGTTGAGCGCATGTAAATTGAAGCACCATTTGCTCGCTCTGAAGCATCATAGAATATGTGGAATTCGATGTTTGATAAATTCGAAACTCCTATCCACCTGGGAATTTTTACATCCTTTAATAATGACAGTTCTGTACTCCATCTGTTGTATTTCGATGCAATGTCCGGTGGTAATATCTCATCCCATTGTATACCACAAAACCATGTATCTTGAAACATTATCTTTCCCAAAACTAAAACTGGTGCAAAGAGGCCTAGAGGATCATAAAATTTTGTTATTGATTGTAAAAGAGAACGTTTTGTAGCGGGGTTGCCGTTTAAATTTAGCAAAATTTCATCTATGCTTTGATTAAATGTATCACTTTCAGTATTCCAATTAACTCCTAATACCATAGATTCTCGTTTAAAATCAGTTTCGTTTTGATTCCAGATTTCTTTGATTCCAGATTTTGCTAAAGGTAGTTTTATACGTGACATCAAATCCTGAATTTCATGGTAAATCTTTATAGCCTCACTTTCTGTATTTACTGTCATGATGAAATCGTCCATTAAAATATTCCGTTTAAGGTGTTTAGAAGCAAGTTTATGAGACTCTGAGTGCATTTCAACTAATTCTTTTGATGTTGCTGATAGATGTTACAACACTTTATAACCGTTGTAAAATTCTTGAATGTCCACCTTATCCAACTTCTGAAATAAAGGTTTTTTAAGCAACTCTTCCACTTCTGTCGCTGTAATTCCAAGGTAATCTTTATAGATAGGATCCTCCAAAAAGGTACAGGCCATCACATTGTTAGCATGGCATGATAGAGTTCCCTTCATTTCCATCGAGGCATTGACCACACTACCAGAGATGTAGTCATTATCTTTCAGAACTGAGCCAATCACATATCCAATATGATTTATGATAGACTGCACCTGCTTCTCATCAACTGTGCTATCGCTTAGCATACACATGAGTGAAGCATCATATTCGTCTATCAACACAAGGGATTTTTTCTGAAATTGTATTTTCAAGCACACTGCCAAAAATTTTAAGGATGATTTTTATGTAAACATTCTTCTTTCGTGTATTCATCATTAGTGTGTTTTGTTTCATGTTGACATTTAAATATGTTCAGGTTCTTGAAGTGTTGGAATTTCTCCGTTTGGATTTCCTTCTCAACCCACTTTCCATCTTCATTCTTTGTCACATTCTCAACTTTGTTTCCTTCACTGTCAACTTCTATTGCCAGAAAATACTTGATCATGTTGATGTTTGTTGATTTTCCACAGCGAAAGGGAGCCGAAAACAGAATTGCACCCTTATCTTGAATTATGATTCTAATGTGTAATGTTTTGTCAACAATGGCATTAGATTTCAAAACTTCAGAGTAATTAGATGAGCCTGTAATGATGAATATCTCATCCAATTCGTAATCAGTTTCGTTCTGATTCCAGATTTCTTTTAATTCTTTGGAGCTACTGTTCCATTTTGCTAAAGGTAGTTTTATACGTGACATCAAATCCTGAATTTCATAGTAAATCTTTATAGCATCACTTTCTGTATTTACTGTTATGATGAAATTATCCATAAAAATATTCCGTTTAAGGTGTTTGGAAGCAAGTTTATGAGACTCTGAGTGCATTTCAACTAATTCTTTTAATGTTGCTGATAGTAAAAAGGGGCTTGATGTTAAACCGAATGGTAAACGAGAAAATCGATACATAATTATGTTATCTTCTAGTATTCTGTTTGTACCATCAGCATCATTTTCTATTTCAAACCTCAGAAATCTAGTTGCATCTCTGTCATCTTCATTCAAAATTAGCTGCAAAAAGACTTGGATCCATCACATCTAATAACATATTTACAAAATCGAAATCGTTATAATGTTGCTAGAATTTCTGGGAGTAAATTTGGACCTTGTTCTAATACGTCGTTAAGAGAAAGACTCTTTGTCGTATGAGAAGAGGCATCGAAAACTACTCTCCACTTAAGTGAGTTATTTTTTCATTTTTTAACTATATAATGAGGTAAGTAAAAAACTTTGTCTTGGTTTTTGGGTTGAGGAACCAGCTTTTCAACTTGTTTCCTTGTAATATAATCTTGCATCTGTTTAACATAAATGTTTTCTAATTCTGGTTTATCTTTCAATCTTTTAGACAACAGTTTTAGACGACTCAGTGCAACATAATAGTTATCTGATGAAAGGCTAACATTAGCATTCCAGGGTAGTTTGACCACTCGTCTTTCGTCTACTAATTCATACGAATCATAAAACTCTTGCATACTATCGCTATCACGGAATGACATTTTTCTCTCTTGCGAAATATTTATACCAATAGTTTCTAAATCCCAAAAACCTTTTACCTCTTCATCAAATTGATGTGATAAATTATTTGTGGTAACGTTATGCACTGAAGAGGCGTTAATACGTTTAGTTGTAGTGCCACAACGACGCCCACTTAAAATCCAACCGATTTTAGAAGGCATTAAAACAAATGACTCAGATAATCTTGTCGGACTTTCAGAGTATACCACGTTCCAGTAGAAATCAGCACCGATTAAAATTTCTATAGGTAAATTTTGGAAATTATCGTAAGGATCAGCCAATTCATAGTTTTGCTTCATGGCACGATCGTGAATGTCTTTTGGTACACTAGGGTGTGATGCGTACGTGTTAAAACTTTCAAATGCCATAATAGTAACTGAAGAATTGTTCCAAATATTAGATAGCTGCATTTTTACCTGACGCCTGGATTGTAGTTGAATCGATTGCGATTCAAAAGCTCATATTTATTCTAAGATAACGTAACGTACAGTATTCCAATACAAAGGTATTCCTTCACATAAAAAAAATAAACATTATTCAAAATTTAGTTATTCTACAGTTTGCTTATGCGTACCGCAGCACCCTTGACGCAGATGGAACACTGGTGTCCCTTTTATATAGTTTTTTTCTGACTCTCGAATTACATGCAGTAATATATTTTTATTTTTTAATTATAAAACACAGTCTAACAATTACTAAAAAAATTTGTTAGATTATCAGAATTATATTTGTACTAAAATATTAAATCCGAACAATGTAGTCCCAAATATTCATTAATAATTGATTATGTAAACTAAAGGAATTTCAATGATAAATAACTGATTCTAAGTAATTGTTTGGAAAATCTTACCTATAACGCAGAAATAGACTTCAGTTTAATATAAATTCTGCATTAAAGGGTTAAGAGCAGTAAACTAAATAGAAAAAATATTTTCTAAAAAAAAAATAAAAAAAAAGAAAGAAAAACTTGTGCAATTTAACGTAAAATTTGTAACATAAAAATTACATCTCAAAATACTATTTTATTGATAAAAATGTCAATACTAATTGACAAACCTAATTTGATATAAAAAATGCAGTTAAAAGTAACAATCTTAAAGTAAAATTAAAACTGTTATGTTATTAAATAGTTTCGACCTGATGTAACAAAATAAGAATATTTTTTAATATCTTTATTTAATAAAGAAAATATTAAATAAATGAAGAGATATATATGATAAAGAAAATATTTGCGAGAAAATGAAAATTCTTTTTGTGAAAAATTAATTTCTAGTTTACTGATTTACTAAAAGGATTTTTTTATATTAAATATGTTACTTTTAGTTGTAATCTCGTATTTTTGTTTTCGACAGTAAACAAAATGCCATTGGCACATGTGAAAAAGTTAATCCTGAAAGTACAACTCCACTAAGATTTAAACGAACAACTATTTTTTAAATTTTTCGGCAGTAATTTAACAAGGCATTCTTTGGGAATTTCCTTTCGGTTGTTCTAAATTCTCAAATATCAAAGTTTTGGTTTAGATGGATAGAATTTCGCATTTGTTTTCAGAACATTTTTTTCAAATGTTTTTGAAAAAGGAAAAACAATACTATTGTCAAAGAATAAAATAATCAGATTCTGTTTAAAAAATGTTGTTTTTAGAAAGTTTTTCTTATTTTAATACACTTCCTTTTTTTTAATCACTATATTAATATTAATGGCCCATCTTAACATTATACTCTCAAAAATATTTTGTAGTGTAGATTTTTTGTTGTTAAAGAACTGAACATTTTTGAATAGTTAGCTTAAATTAATATAAATATAAAAAGAAAATGTTACTAAAGTTTTTCAAGTGTTTGATTTGTATAAAAATTACAACAATACTGCATGATTAAAAGAATTGTAAATAAATAGTTAATAATGTCTTGTAAATAACAGTAAATAATATCTTGTAAGTAATTTAATAGTATGAATGGTAGTAGACATTGTTTTACGCCTCTGAGAGAAAATAATCTTGATATAATTATATCCGAAGAAAATTCTGGTTATGGTTAACCTTTCTTAAGGTTAGTGGTATGACAAGAAAACAGTAAAGTTAGTAAAAACAAAAATGTTTGATTTATGTAAAAATTATTAATAGATGGCATAACTTCATTTAAAGCATTTATAAATAATGCCTTAACCCTTTTGGCCTCACCGGGACATATGTGTCTCGCAAACGAAAACACCGTTGGGACATATGAGTCCCATCTAAAAACACCGGTGAGACACGTATGCCCCAGCTTCCCAATTGCTCAAGAAGTTCATTTTTTAAATTTTATTTTAGCAAAATATTGTTATTTTTACCTTATTTGATCTATTAAAGTAGTAATTTTTTTTTTTTTTTTAATTTTAAGATTAAAGAAAATCTTTTTGAAATGCTTAAAACAATAGTAAACTCTTAAAACAATAGTACACGATTGCGATATTAAGTGATTCTAAGAAATATTTGTAAATACGTAGATGTAAATATTTTCTTTCAAATACTCGCAATTAATTTCTTGTATATGCTTGCAAAGATGTCATAACAGTCGAATATAATTATATCACATTAGGGGTGTGTTTTTAATAAGCAAGTTTTGAAAGAAATTTGAGAATTTTTTATTTTTATGATCTCTTTTTAAGTTTATTTTATTTGCAAAAACAAGTTATGATGGAAATAGTTATAAAATATATCTTTTTAAAGCAAAATTGGAAGTACAAGCTTGTTAGTCCAAGTTACTAAAACGTGTTGCAGAATCAAATTGTAATAAAATTTGATACCGAAAAAACAGAATTCTCTGATGGTTTTAGAAGCCTAAAACGTTGGAGTCAGATATTGTATATTATTGACAACATAGTATGGTATCCCTCCTAGTTTTAGATCTGTAAATCTATACTTCTTTTATGCTCTTTGGTGTAATACGATTTAGAGTTCTAATATTTCAATCATTTTTTATTTTAGGGGTGGTGAGCAAGCCATTTTTTTCAGAATAATATTGAATTTAGTTAGTCAAGTATATGAATTTGAATTATTTGTAGTTCTAAATCATGCATATTTTTAATTGATGTTGGTTTGCAATGTGCCAATTTTTTTAAAGTTTGGAAAATTTAATGTGTGCAATAGCTGTAATGCACACGGAGAAAAAAATTCTGCTAAAAATACCGTACAGAATGGTAATGACTTTTGTGATAAAAAAAAAAACAAACAAACATAATTCTCGTAGAAGATAAAATATACGGTATTTAAATCATTCATTTGGTAATTTTTCCGTTCATATGGAAACG